TCTTTGAATGTGCTAGTGCATCTAGCACATGATACGTCCAGAACAGATACTATTTGAATAACAAGATATAGAAAATCCTGAAGCTCTATAGATGAGAAGGAATCTACATTTATTTTGTTTTTAAATGATGATTTTTATAAATGCAGGGTCAGTCAACCAAGATGGCTATTAAGAGCTCAGGTTCTAAGGCAAGACTGCCTGGGTGTGAAGGTTTAAAGACTGGCTCTCTTTTTAAAAAATATTTTTTATTGATTTCAGAGAGGAACAAGGAGAGAGAGAGAGAGAGAGAGAGAGAGAGAGAAGAAGAAGAAGAAGAAGAAGAAGAAGAAGAAGAAGAAGAAGAAGAAGAAGAAGGATGATGATGGTGAGAGAGAATCAGTAATCTGCTGCCTGCTGCTCAACTCCTAGTAGGGATTGAGCCAGCAACCAGGTACATGCCCTGACTGGGAATCGAACTGTGACGTACAGGTTCACAGGTCTACACTCAACCACTGAGCCATAAAGCTGGACAAGACTGGCTCTATTTTTACAGCTGCATAGTTATGGTATAAATGTACCACAACATTTTTATCCACTCACCTACTGATGGGCACTTGAGCTGTTTCCAGATGTTAGCTACATAAATGTACCACAACATTTTTATCCACTCACCGACTGATGGGCACTTGAGCTGTTTCCAGATGTTAGCTATTGTAAATAGCACTGCCATGAACATCAGGGTGCATATATTCTTTCTAATTGGTATTTCAGGCTTCTTAGGATATATTCTTAGAAGTGGGATCACTGGGTCAAATGGCAGTTCTCTTTTTTGAGAGCACTCCATACTACTTTCCATAGTGACTGTACCAGTCTACATTCCCACCAGCAGTGAACTAGTGTTCCTTTTTCTCCACATCCTCTCTATCACTGGTTTGTGGATATGTTGATGATGGTAGCCATTCTGGCAGGTGTGAGGTGTTACTTCATTGTCATTTTAATTTGCATCTCTCTGATGATTAGCGACTGAGAATTTTTTCATATGTTTCTTGGACATCTGTATGTTCTCTTTGGAGAAATGTCTATTTAAGACCTTTGCCCATTTTTTAATTGTATTGTTTGTCTTCCTTTTGTTAAGATGTATGAGTTGTTTATAAATTTCTGGAGTGTATTATGCTGAGCAAAATAAGCCAATCAGAGAAAGACAAGTATCACATGATCTCACTTATCTGAGGAATCTAATGATCAATATAAATTGACAAACAAAACAGATCAAGAGACATGGAAGCATGGAACAGACTGATGAATCTCAGAGGGAAGAGAGGAGGTAAGGGGGAGGGTGGGCAGGAAGAGATTAACTCAAGAACTTATATGCATATATGCATAACCCATGGACACAGACAATAATGCAGTGAAGACCAAGGTGGAGGAAGCGAGAGTGGGATGGAGGGGACCAATGGGGGAAAGGGGGACATCTGTAATACTTTCAATAGTAAAGATAAATTAAAATAATAAATAAATGAAGGAAGGAAGGAAGGAAGAAAGGAAGGAAGGAAGGAAGGAAGGAAGAAAGAAAAAAAGAAAGAAAGAAAAGAAAATGTCCTGTGACAGAACTGAGGATGGTGGGAGGGAGGGAGGGAACTGGCTCTATACAAACAGTATGACTTCAGGCAGATTACTCAGGGTCTCTATGCCTCAGTATTCTGATCTGTAAAGTGAGCATTATAATAGCACCTCCTTCATAGGGTGTTTCTGGGGATTTGTAAATATATTCAAAGCATTTAGAACAGTCCCTGAAAGTAGTGGCGTGCTATATACGTTGCCATCGGTCTCACCTGCCTGAAACTATGGTACCATCTGGCGATTCCCTCATTGTGTAGACAAGTACACTTGTCTTCATTCCCAAGTGCTGACTTCTTGAAGAGGGGCAACCAGCCTTCAATTCCCCTGCCCAGCTCTCCCTGAAGCATCATGTGCAAATGCTTTGGGAATTAAACTGGAGGAACTCCAGCCAGGGGCCTGATACTTAAGGGCAGAGATAAGACTGGTGCTCAAGACACCCGGCCACCAATCTGAGCCAAAAGCTAGTGGCGCCTGAACACTTCAAGTGTGACAGGCCCATAAGAGCATGTCCTCTTTCCCCAGAGAGTTAGGCATTTGCTTGGCCCTGGAGCCTCTTAAAGATCTGACCCAGTGTCTCCAGTGGAATGTACAGCACAGGGGATGTGAAAAATGTCCTCTTGGAAATGGGAAAGCCATCCTACAATGTTTCTTTATGTCAATTTTTTTTTTTTTTAAATATTTTATTGATTTTTTACAGAGAGGAAGGGAGAGGAATAGAGAGTCAGAAACATCAATGAGAGAGAAACATCGTCGAGCTGCTTCCCGCACACCCCCTACTGGGGATGTGCCTGCAACCAAGGTACATGCCCTTGACCGGAATCGAACCTGGGACCCTTGAGTCCACAGGCCGACACTCTATCCACTCAGCTGCTTCCCGCACACCCCCTACTGGGGATGTGCCTGCAACCAAGGTACATGCCCTTGACCGGAATCGAACCTGGGACCCTTGAGTCCACAGGCCGACACTCTATCCACCGAGCCAAACCGGTAATGTTTCTTTATGTCAATTTTTAATCTTGACATTTACTAGGTACAATTTAATAATATTGTATCATATGTATAAAATTTATGAGTAAATGATATGCCCCTCTTACAGGCATTTTCTCAAACCTGTGGGTTCTGATAGTCCCTAGAGTTATAGAGAAAGTGTAAGGATTTTAAATGAAGGGAATTAAGTGTAGAAATAGCGAGTAACCAGGGTGGGTGAAAGCTCATGGTTTTACACTTAGGAGCTGGAGGAGATGGTTCTCCCCACATGTCATCCTGCGAGATTTCCAGTGCACTTCTGGAAATGTCCCTAATGTTGCATTAAGTCAGCATATTTCCTCAAAAGTGTCCCAAGTTCCAAGGTGCAGGCTGGGGTGGGGTCTTTGACAGCTGGTTGTCACAGCCTCAGATCTCTGCCAGGGCAGAGGTTACTGTTACAGAAGCCAGGCAAACGGGTTTTCCCCTGTGAAGCCCTTAGAGGACACTGCTGCTTCCTTTATGGGAGGGACCAAAGGAAAGCACTCGTTCATTCATTCATCCAGCACCATCCTCCATGATGGCTGAGAGCAGGGGCTGGCAAACTTTCTCCTTAAAGTGCCAAAAGGTAAGGATTCTCAGCTTTACCATCTAGTCTCTGTCACAGCTACTCAATGCGGCCGCTGCAGTGGGAAAGCAGCTATAGTTGATACTACATGAATGGGTGCGGCCACATTCCAAGACCTTTGTTTACGAACACTCAAATTTGGATTTTATATAAATTTTACATATCACAAAACAGATTCTATCTTTTCATTGTAAGCCATTTAAAAATGTAATAATCCTACTGAGCTCACCAGGGCTCCTGAAACAGGCGGCCAGCAGGATCTGGCCCAGGACCCCTGCCTTAGAAAAAACTCTACAGTTTCATTTATTTTTTAGAAGTGCCAGCATCTTTCTTTGTCTTTAATCTGACATACAGGCATGAAGTATTTATTTCTTATTATAGCTAATTTTTCATTAACTCCCCAGAAGTTTGTTAATGAGATCATTCTAAGAGCATATGAATATAGAACTGAGAATGAACATAATCCCTTTGGTTGTCAGTGTTTATTCAGATTAGATATTGAACATCTCTGAGGTTGTTATCACCATCTTTTATAAAATTACCTTAATAACATGCAACAAACTAAATGTTAAACCAACCCAACCTCAGATGGGTGTGGGTTTAGCAGGCTGAAGGTGAGAGAGATTCTGACAGAAGAATAAATGGGTATTCTTTTTCTTCTAAACCAAGATAGGTATTATTAACACTGGATGGAATTTACAATGTCAAAAACAAAATAAAGAGTATTTTGTCCCTTGTTGCCTATGATGCTGTAAAAAACTGAAATGTAGATACCAATAATCAACTATAAAAGCAACTTAGCTTGACTGGATTTCAAGACGTGTAATTTAGTATCATAATGCAGTTTAACAAAATTGCTTCGCTCTACTTGGTGGTAACTAGAAGGAACCATCTGAAGAGGCAGAGCCCTATGTGCCCAGGTGTAGACCAGGGCTTTCCCAGTCTCAGCCCCTGTCCAGGCCAATGCGGATCATTAGGAAGGAAGGAGAGAGCGCTGCTCTCCGCAAATCATCTACAGAATATTTTCTGAGATTACTTATCAATGCTCAGCTTTATAATAAGTGCAATTCTCAACATCTTAATTATATCCATTTTATAGTTAAGTGTTCTCTGGTACCCTGAGTCATGACATTTGACCATTATTTTGCCAATGGCTGCACTTTCTGGGAAAACACGTGTCTTTCTTCATGTGGCCTCTGCTGGTATTCAATTCAAAATATAGATTTAATCCAGGAAAGTTATACAGTTGACTGAACCACATGCAATGGCCAACATCCAATCTTTAAATAATAATTTCATATAATTCAGCCTATTAGTGTGTACAAAATAAATTCTCAGTTTGCCTTACAAAGTATGCTATATTTTTTAGTCAATATGTTTTTCCCCCAAGCTTGCCAAGTAGGTAGACTATATCATTTAAAAAATACTTACCAGAATTAGGTATATGCCTTTTACACCCCATATAATGACCGTGCTTTCTCGAGGACTTATACTCATTAAATACATTAGTAAGGATGAATAAGGAATTAATCCTGCTTCCTTCAATTTGCCTGTTTGACAAAATAATCTTATACCCTCCATGGTATATCTTTCATTTACAACATACTGAGGGAGGTAAACTGGACTCAGGTTTGGTTTCCATCATCACCATCATACAAGCATCATAATGCTTGTAAGGAGAGAGGACACACACACACACACACACACACACACACACACACACACATTCCTTCCATGAGGGAGGGTTGTGGGGCTCCCAAGCATGCCACCCACCCTGGAGAGGGCACGGGGTGGGGTTCTGAATACACACCTGTGCTCGTGCGGTAGGTGCCGGTGTGTGCTGGCGGCAGAGGGTCCCCCTGGCTCTGGCTGAGACTCCTCATAGGGGGCTTCTGATAGACGCGGTCTTCATAGATGGGGTCTATGTGGTGCTCTGGGGACTGCAGGGCCCGCAGCTCTGGGCCCAGGTGGCCGTGCTGGCTGCTGTATGAGGCCCGGGACCCAGCTGGAATAAAATAACAGCAGACATGAAGATCCGACCAATATTCAAACAGAACTTGTTTTATCAAAGGCATATTTGATTTTTTTTGACAAAAATGTTGAAATCTGCAGAATATCAAATGAATAACATGAAATGGCAGAAATATGTCAAGTTAGTCAGCTTATCGGCATCACCCAGCTGCCTAGCTTTGCTCCCAAACCTGATCTCCCTCTAAGGATAATGATTTTGAGATAAATCCACACCGAACAGGGCCACTGAAACATCAGTTTTCTCAGTCTAACGAATGTTGCTTGGCTTCCTCACTAACGGGATCAGGCAGACAGTCAAACCTAAAACCCTCTTATCCCATAGTCCTTGCACCTTAAATTTTGCAACAAATTATTAAAGTCATGAGCCACTGAATAAGCCACGATGGCAAGCCATCTTTATGTTGTTTCTGAAAAGTGAACCTGAATTTGTTCTCATCAGCAGTTTTTCCCTGGACAATGAATGAACCAAAACGTTCAGACTTACAACAGCCTAAGTCTCTAAGAGAAGCAGACTTTTTTAAAGAATGTTTTTAAGTTATATTTTGCTTTATCCTTACCCTCTAAATTGAAGCATCTGCACTTAGTGCACCTTGCTCTGAAGGAGGTACAAATAACTGGTTTAATTTATAAATTGAGGCTACACATCACTCGCCTTATAGTAGTTGTAAATGATTGTATGTTTCGTTTCCTTGCATTGTGTGGGAAGAGGTGTGGCTTTGAAGCCATGCTGTGAACCTCTGCACATTGGGAAATAAAGTTTTATGAGGGCTAAGCGGTTGAGTTGACACAAGGTAAAGAGGACGTTGATTGAGAGCCAGTATTTCGTGGGAGGTACGAACGAATCACAGCGACAGAGTGGCAGGAGAATCATCTCCGTCGAGGCAGATGGAGTAAAGGACACCTAGGGACAATGAAGGGCGTGGGCATCAAGGATAAATGGTTATCTAATGAGGTGAGCAGAAAACACACAAGAGCCAAATGAGGCTGCAGCTGATGTTAGGAAAGACCCTTCGGCTAAATCTCCAAAGCTAATACCCACATGGCACACTGGGATTTATTTAACTGTCAACTGCCTTTGAACAGCCCCAATCTGAGCTCCCCATTCAAACCTACAGCAACAGGGTGTTGCAATTCCTTGATTTCGGAGCTATTTGTGGACAGCTTTACCTCTGTTCCTCTGGTCCAAGTCCTTCACTGGGGACCACCTTAAAACCTGCTTCCTGAGGATCCCTTAACCACAAGGATTTCAATATTCTTGTCTAGTATATTTGAGAGAAAAAAACTATTCAAATGTTTTTAAATTGGCAATAAATGTTTTCCTAATATATATTTTATACAGGGTGCTGTAAATCAAACAAACAAACAGAAAACAGGATTTCCGAATGATTGGAGCAGTGCTAAGAATTCTATGAATTTAGTGTTAATTAAAAATCACTGTCTGTTTTGAGGAAAGGCAAGTTCCTTACCTTTCCCTTTGCTAGTAATTAATTCAATCCTGATTCAGATAGCATGCAGATGAATGATAGGTCCAAAATAACTGCTTTGCATAATTGGGTTCATTGCATCTCATTGATCACATGCCAACATCACACTGAATATTATCTCATTTTGATATTTTCCAAGAATATATTTTAAGTGTGATAATCCTTGCGCTCCTGCTGTCAATTCTTCGTACTACTTGGAAGTTTTGGTAATATTGCCAAAAAGTTACAAGTCTAAAAGCAAGAAAACAGTCCTTGCAATTGACCATTGAACAACCCGTATGTTAGAGGCACTAACCCTCGCAGTCAAAAATCCCTGTGTAACTTCTGACTTCCCAAAATTTAACTACTGCTAGCCTAATGCTGACTAGAAGCCTTACGAATAACATAAATAGTTGATCGACACATATTTTGCATGTTTTCATGTATTATATATTGTATTCTTACAATAAAGTAAGCTAGAGAAAAAATACGTATGAAGAAAATCCAAAGAGAAAATACATTTACAGTACTGCTTTTATTGATACCATAAGTTTATGTTGTCTGTTTACAAGATGAAAAAAGCTGCATATAAGTGGACCGGTACATTTCAAATCTGTTGTTCAAGGGTTAAACACACCTAAATGTTTTATAGTTAAATAAGCGTGTTACCCATCACTGGTAGAGTTAGAGATGTAATTTTATCACTGTTCTTTATTCTAAGCCTCTGAAAACATCTAAGGGTATGCAATGAAAGCACCTGCTGACCTTTTAAGTGGTGATATGATCTGAGGGTGTGTGTGAAAATCCTCTTAGTAAAAGCATTTACTGGGCATTAGGAGATTTTTATTGGCATACAATAAATCAGAAATCAATGACCAAGGGACATGAATCTTACAATAAGGTCTACCTTTGTGGATATCACTATTACTATATGCTGACAGTAAGAAAAATATAATAGAATTATTAAATATTTGAACAACATCTATATTTTTATTTTTTTTCAACATACTATATTTTTAATTATCATGTTCTTGATAAAATTAAAGTTCACAGTGTTGCCCTGTGGAAACATTTGTGCAAAATCCATCTGCATATTTAAGCATTATGCATAGCACTGAATGAGATAAGGCTTTCTAAAAGGAGCATTGTTTATACTCCTTTCTATCCATTGTGATCCTTTCAGTTGCTCATGGGTGGGCACAGTTATTGGCAAGAGAAACAGAGAGACCTAGGAGAAAGAAGAGAGGCAGGGAGTGAAAGGCCAAAGGTGTAAGTTCAAGAATTCATGCTTTCTACCACTCAGGCTCAAGTAAGACCCATACTAACAAAACCTATTTTATTCTGGGTAATTCCAAGAAAAAAATTCTCACACAACCTCTTCTGAGAATATGCTGCAAAAGTTCACGAGGTGGTGAATATATTTGCTGATCCAAAGAAAATGTACTTTTCTTTAGCAGTAATTTCTTTCACCATTATGGTCTATTTGACAACAAGTCCTCAGCACTCTGGACTCAGAATACCATTAGTAAGCATTTGTGTCTTTGACAGGAACTGAAAAGATGTTATCATAGCAAGGAAAAATGCGGGAGAAACTGACTGTCCCAAATGCCACAGATGTTCAGGGCAATGAAGAACAATTCTGAGAGCCTCACCTTGACCGAAATGAGGGTTCAGAACTGCAGCATGACAAGGTGCAGTGAAACACAAGCGGCCAGAGAGAAAAGGAAAGCAGACCCCACGGCCAGACCAACTGCAGCAAAAGGCTCCCCACCATTGCAGGCAGAGGTCCTGCAGGTATAATACCAGTGTCTACATAGCGCTTTATGACCAATTTTCTCAACAATGCTTACCTCATCCAATGCCCATCTTTCAATGCTGTCATATCATTTCACTTTTCCTACGTCTTTTCACAAGACAAAATTTGGATCTAGAGAGCTCAGGCACTGGTAATTTTCATCTGTAATGTGATTCTGAAATTAATGGGTTTGAGGGCTCACATCTGGAACATGAATGGTTGGTTCTCAGGCTAAGAAAGGTTGTGACTCATGAGGGTGCTCTGTGAGGGAGGTCCAGGAGCCCTGGAGGACAGGGGAGAACCTGAAAATTGATGTAGGACCAGGCCTGAGACAGCTGTTATACAAGAGCTACCTTTGGTCATAAAACTTCCATCACCTGCTCACTCCTGGCCATTCTGCTGTGGCATTGGTGGTGGGAGGACAGAGGGAAGGAGGGTTCAGTCCTGTGGCAGTGAGGGAGGTACAAGTTCTAGGGGCTCAGAGGGGTGGGAAGACTGGACCACTGGAGAGAACACTAGACCTCTGATATGCCCTGCTTCTGAGTAGGCATCTTTACACCAGCACCACCATTCACATGAGCAAGTCCTATGTAGGCTCACCATAAAGTTCTGCACATGAAAGGTGGCATTATGACTGTGGATGTATAATGTTCAACAGTTTAAAAAAATAAATTGCATCGAAAGTAGTAATTCTACTGTTGTTTCTTAAGTAAAGTTTGCCCAAATAACCTGAAATAGAAGACATAATTTGGGCTCCAGATCCGTATCTAACCAGGTGGGTGAATCAAGGGGAGTCACTGAGCCTCTCTGAGCCCAGGTTTCCTCCAGTGTAAAAATCCAGATAGTAATGCATGCATTTGTATGGCATGAAATAGTGGGAGGATCAAGATGAGAGTGATTTCGTCTGAAAATGGATACGTGTTAAAACAGCCTACGATGGGTAGTCCCATGTCATTTAACCTCAGTCAAATTATGTTATTTCATGAAATACATCTTTTGATTGGGAGAAAAGCAAGCACTTCTTAACAAAAACCTTCAAAATATCAAAAACAAAACAGAGATTTAACTTGGAAATATAACTGACAAAAATTTGATAATTTTGTAAAATATTACAAAATGTAAATCATACAGTTTATTTTTATGTTCTTAAAGAAACAACATCAGGGTTGCTTTGTAATGGATAATGGTGAAGAATGCAGGAATGAATTAAGTCCAAAAGGGAAAGACATATTAAAATGACCAAGAAAAGGCAGAATCCTTTTTAGAAAGGGGTATGGTATAAATTAAACCTGCACATTGAGGGCAAACAAACATTTGCTAATCTAGTAGGAAGCCAGCAACAGACTTGTAGGGGGTCGTTGACATGGAAAATAATTACGGAGCTGAAGAGGCTGCAGTATCTCTCACTGCCTTGCTTGTCTCATCCTCAACACCACATTTTCACTGGCTCAGGGAATCCAAAAGGCTCTGTTTGCAACTGACAAGCAACAGGCAACATTTATCATTTTTTAGATTGATTGGCAAATGAATCTCTATATGCTTGATATTGCTTGTATCATTTATATGTATCAGTTAATCTATATTGATCTATATTTTCATTCATTCAACACATTTAGTGAGTGTCTGGGCAACTTCTAGGAGTTGAGGACACCAAGGTGCTTAAGACAGACCAGGTCTCTGGCCTTGGAAATAAGTAAAAGATCACATTCAGGTAGG